CAGAGAAAGACAAATACCATATGAGTTCACTCTTAAGTGGAATTTAAGATACAAAACAGATGAACATAAGGGAAGGAAAGAAAAAAAAAAACAAGAGAAAAACAGAGAGGGAGAGAAACTATAAGAGATTCTCAACTAGAGAGAACAAACTGAGGGTTGTGGGTGGGGGGATGGGCTAGATGGGCGATGGGCGTTAAGGAGGGCAGTTGTTGGGATGAGCACTGGGTGTTATAGGTAAGTGATGAATCACAAATTCTACTCCTAAATTATTACACTATATATTAACTAACCTGGATTTAAATTTAAAAAATAGTGATAATATGCACACAAAATTAAATAAAAGTACAATGGTAAAACAAAAACAAAAACAAAAAACTGAGGCCACAAAAGAGTGGCCAGTGGAAGAAAGAGGACGAAGAAAGACAGAAGCAGCTGAAGAAGGCATTTTGAGAACAGGGGTGTCGTCAAAATTGAAAAGCTCCAACTTAGTACGGAGTCACGTGCCTGAGACATACAGTGGCAGTGAGGTCAAGTTCTTATGCGTTATGCTTATTTAAAATCTGATGATTTAAGTACCTCTAAGAAAACCAATGCCCAAATGAGTATTTTTCCCTCCAGTAATTCAGTGACACCTATAATTCTTAGTTCACATATTATTGGCATGCTATCAAGTTAAAATGGCTTATCAAGAAAACTCGAATTTAATACTACTGAATAAAGGGCACTTTTGCCTGGGAACAGTGGTTATACTTGGCATCAATTACATGAGGAAAACATTTTTTTTTCAGTTCCATCATTTTAAATTTTATTTTGAAATCGCAGTGTGGTGCTAATACTTCAAATTTTAACATTAGCTTGACTTATGAATGCTAAAACAATCTAACTTATATATAAAGTGCCTTTGTTGTTGTCTCAAGATCATAGATAAAAATTTATGGACTTTGCCTTCTTCTCACTTACAGAAGAGGAGCAAAGCCCTTTTGGTCTGGAGAGATGGACTCTTTTGCATATTTTGAGGAGATTCAGACCTTTGGTTTAGCAAGACTCCAGTTTAAATTTGGTTTCTCAATGGAGCCTCCCATGAGGGAAGTCTGATGAGGAAAGGAAGGTCCCACAACTGCAGAGATGGAGACTGGCACATTGGTCACGGGTAAGGGTAGGTTGACCAAAATGCCCCAGTGCACTGGTGCCGACAGGGGTTCCTGGAACACGGGCGTGTCAGTTTTATTACCTGAGGGGTTTTAGGAAACTTTTTTGTCCTGGGCAAATTCTGACTGTTACATCTAGGGTAACTAGGTGTAGGAGTCAACTTTTCATCAAGTTCTCAGAGACACAGAGTCTTGTGTCCCAGTATCTCACTCCCACTGGTGTCCCAGAAATGGCAGACTTTACTCGAAGTTCATGGAGCATCTTGGCTGTGGAGAGGGGCAGGGCCGCTGTGTTCCAGCTCTGAGACGAATCTGTGTGGCCACCAAGGGCAAGAACAGCACCCAAAGAGAGCAGAGAGGACCTGGTCTCCGGCTACTCACCACACAGAACACATCCTGACTCCCCACACACCACAACATGGGGAGGGGGCTTTGTACAACAGACTGATATTGGACTTCTCATCTACCTTCATGCATGGGAGCTTGAAGCGGATACAATTTCACTTAGAAAACTGAGAAATGGCCTTTGTTCTAACAACAGAGAGTGGAACACATCCTTGACCATTTCACAGGCTTCCCAATGTCGCTCATAGAACTGCAAACTTATTTACAATTAAATAAGGATCCAACACAAAACCTAGAGCACACTTCCAATAGGATTATTTGAGAGGGCTTCCTTAAAAGGTTGACCCCAGGTAGAGGTGTGGTTGCTGAGAACTGGTTATAAGTATCTGGAAGGAACATGGACAGACACAACTTCTTGAGAAAAGCAGTAAGTTTCGATGGAGGGACATGGCCAGCCCCAGGGAAATCGACAGGGGAGGGAACAGGGTACATCCAACCCCCGGCCACACACTACATCCTGTATTTCTCATGTCCTGCCAGAGGTCCCCAGGGGAGGAATGCAAGTAGGAGAGAAGGCCTAGTGCACACATGTTCACCTCTAGGTCAGCGAGCAGCTTGGGAAAAGGCAGAGAGTAATCTAAAAAGGCAAAGACAAGATGTACAACACAGAATGCAGGGTTAAATGCAAATGTCCTTAGAAATTGGTACAATATCTTCAGTTCACAAATAAAGCAATAAAAAAGGAGACAGAAGGTCTGTCACAAATCTTTAGAGATCAACAGAGGAGCCCAAGTTTCCTTAGAGTCCGGGAAAAATGATAAATTATAATTATAATCTAATTTATAATAATCTAAATCATAACAAGCAATATTTTATATATTTTTTGGCCTTTTTATAGAGTTTTCAAGACAACCTTGCAGAAACCCAATTAATTATAGAACCTCAGAATCATTAGTATATTTTTGCCCTTAATGTGGAATTTCTCAAAGTGTACCAGACGTAGGGACTTAGTAGCTGGGAATGGAGTGGGGAGAGTTCATGCACAAGGGTCCTGTAAAACCAAACGATTTGCCAATAGTCACACATTCTTATGTATAAAATTGACACCTTCACATGGTTCAAACTAGAGCACCTGGAACACTGAATTTACAAAAAAATAAGCAAGTTTCATTTCTGTAGGAACTTCAATGGATGTGTTCATGTTGTCCACTTCCTAAACATCAACATATAAGGAGAATCAAAATGTCTGTTATTCTCAAATAAAACAAAGGGCCTTTAAAAAAAAAAAAAAAACCCAAAGTAGGAAGTTGTCTTTTCCTGAAAAGAAGGAATCCTGAAGGAACACAGGAAAATAAGCGGTTTCCAGGCTCTGCAAGAATTTTAAAAAAGGAAGGGTTTTAAAAGGCCAAGAATAAAACCAAACATATTCTTACCGTACGATCCAGTGATCAAACTCCTTGGTATTTACCTAAATGAATTAAAACCTTATGTTCACACAAAAACCTGCACAAGAATGTTTACAGCAGCTTTACCCATGATTGCCAAAACCTGTATGTAACCAGGATGCCCTTCAGTAGTGACGGGTTAAGAAACTCTGGTCTATCTGGACAGTGAAGTATTTTTCATCGCTAAAAAGAAATGAGTTATCCATCACTGAGTAGAGGTGCAAAGACACGGGGAAGCCTTAAATGCATATCACCAAGTGTAAGAAACCCATCGGAAAAAGCATCCTGTAGCGTGGGAATCACTGAGTGATTCCAACTCTATGACATTCTGGGAAAAGCAAACCCATGGAGACAGTAAAGGGATCTGTGGTTGCCAGTGGCTGAGGGTATAGGGGAGGGGTGGGCGGTTGGAACAGAGATGTGTAGGTCCATGAATGACTGTATGGCGCTATCATGGTGGATACATGTCATTGCACATTTGTGCACATCCGTAGCACGTACTGTGGACTCTGGGTGATGATGATGATGTCACCACGGGTTCATCAACTGTGGCAAATGCACCATCTAGTGGGGGTGTTGCCAACGGGGGAGGCTGGGCATTTGGGGGACGGTATACGGGAAACCTCTGTATTCCTCTCAGTGTTGCTGTGAACCTAAAATTGCTCTAAAAAGTTATCTGTTAAGACAAATTAGGAAAGTATACAACAGGTAAGAGAGAAAAACAAACATAACCTCATAGTGTTGCCAACATTTTTGTTTTGCCAGAGAAGGACAGTAGATTACACATCTACTGTCTACTCACCACCATTTCTGAAGATAAAGAGCAAAATTCTTAAGATGAAGGACATTTTCCCCCAAGCTAGGTTTGCTGGAACAAACTTACCTCTGATGTTTTTACCAAAGACCAGTGAAAAATTTAGCACATGTTTGCAAACTATTGCAAATTACCGCGCTCGAAGCGCAGTAAAACCAGAGATAAAAAATTGTGCAGATGATAATCTCATTTTTATTAGCAACCTTTTAAAGCATTAAATTGAGCTAAGTCCATTTGCTTATGTAAATCCTAAATATGCTCACCAGTGACCTGCCAAGGGATAAGGCGAGTTGGAAGGTGTTATGTGCAAACCCCACTTGGCTTACGCCAACGGCTGACCACGTGCACCGCCAAATCATATGATCTCTACGTGGTGCAACTTGAAGGGCACTCAAAAGCGGAATTTCCGGGGCACCTGGGTGGCTCAGTCGGTTGAGCGTCCGACTTTACCTCAGGTCATGATCTCATGGGGCTGACAGCTCAGAGCCTGGAGCCTGTTTCAGATTCTGTGTCTCCCTCTCTCTGCCGTTCACCTGCTCACGCTCTGTCTCTGTCTCTCTCAAAAATAAATAAACATTAAAAAAATTTTGAAAAAAGTGGAACTTCCACAAAATATCTTCACTCCTTCCTTCTTGAAAAACTGCTCATTGAAAATGGGCTGGAGAGTTAAAAAAAAAAAAAAAAAAAAAAAAAAAAGCCAAGGTGGAACCTGTCTTTCAGGAGGTAAGAGCTCAAATGTGCGAACACTGTGTCCTGTGAGCGATCGCCCAGAGATCGCCGTCTCAAGTGAAGTACTCAAGACCTTGGTCCAAAGAAGGAGAAGAATCAGGGCACTTGTGTTTGGGGTGGCTGACCACGGACACGCAGAGCACAGCAGGTGAGCATCTCCACTGCATGGGGACTTCATAGCACAATCGGGGAGCCTGGAGTTGGTACAGGTTTTGCAGGGGCACCAGAGATACACTTTACATTCAGGTAGAGATCCACACATGTCTCGGGCCCAAATTTCCCTGGTTAACTTGAGCCTTTAAAGTTGTGTGTGTATCTTTTCACGTAACCGTGGACACGCGATGCCCAACCCTTCCCGCCAACGTGAGCGTTCCCTAAAACGGACTTTCCTCTTGAGACGCATTTTCAAAATTTCCCATTACGCTCCACAGAAATTACCTCTATTAGGGGCGAGGCCTAAGGACGCAAACGGCAGCACAAATGACCGCGAGGGCGGGGGAGAGGGCGGCCGTCACCTACTTGAGAACTGAATGGAGAAGCCGGACTTGCTGATGAAGAAGTCGCTGTCGAACTGCAGGGTGAGCGAGCTAAAGGTACTGTGGATGTCCTCGGGGAGCATGGAGCCGCTCCACTCCTTCAGCAGGACGTCACTGTCCACGGGGCCGTCCCAGACCTTCAGGATGTCATGGGCCGCCTCGGTGTCGAACACGATGAAGTGCAGGCTGCGGGAGAGAGCACAGCTGGAACACTTACTCGGAAGAGGGCCCCCCGCTCCACGAGAACACCTGAGCACCACCGGGAATGCACGCGAGCTCGTCTCGTCTGCCCACACCCCGGAGACACGGTGTCACCTGACGACGAGGCAGAGGGGACCGAGCCTCCCGGACGTGGACCCGCTGGTGCACCGAGGATCCCTTCTGCCCCTGACGGACACACACCGCCAATCTCTATGCAGAGCCGCGTGTTAAGGACGAAACAATGGAACGATTCCTTCTGAGACTGTCAGTTCTTTTCATAATTCAAAGCTTTCTCGGGCTCACAAATCAAAGGCGACTTCGACATCGCTTGGCTTTAAGCTAATCAAAGTCTGATCTTTCCGTGGCTTCCGTGTGGTTCCACTAGGTGGTAGCATCCGTGCCCAGAGAGACACCTGCATAGGCCCTCTTTGAAGCACGGGGATGCTGTCCTTGGACCCGAACCATCTCATCTTACGCTGTTGGTTTCTATAAGTTTTATTTTCAGAAAAATGCATAATTTGAAATACCAACACAAAGGCAGAAATGTGTGACACCAACTCCCGTCTCGAGAACATTTTCATCTACTTCTATCAGATTTACAGACATCTCCCAGAGCAACGTAAAAAACATCTCTCCTCTAGAAAGCTCACTCTTCAGGGCAGGACTGTCGTCGGGACAAGCAAACAGCCGCGTGCAAGGGCTTAGCTAACGGACCAACACAAGTCACTAGTTCCTGACGGGGTTGGTCTCCAGTTTCTCCTTCACCGCGTGTTGCACAAAATTGTCAGGAAGATAAAAATCCTAAGATGTCGACATAAAATAAGTTTAACATGGAGAAAAGTACAGGCTGTAGCAGACCCTGTACCGCCTCCACGGCACTGTCGTGCTGGGCTCCTCAGCTGCAGATCGTCTGCAAAAATAAAATCTTACAGACACGGCCACACAACCCTCTCTTCCACGCACTCATCGGTCCTTCTGCTCACTGCACACTGTGGATGGACTGTTCCCTAGTACATTTCCCCTTTCACATTTCCATCATTTCCACGTTCGCGTGCATACGTCTCCCCAGACAATCTCTAGTCCTGTTTTCTACATTGAACACTTATGGCATAAGACAGGTCATTTTGGGGTGTATGTCCTCGTACCATTTTCAAGTTGCTTTTTACATTCAGTGTTACTTACATGAAAGTCCTTCACACCGAAAAATGTAGAGTTTTGTTCCTATACTGTAAAAGCATGGGTAAATGCTTATTTTTCTAGTCCTCTACTAAACGATAGTTTGTTTTTACATTTTATTTTTGAGGTTTTCTGTGTGTGTGTGTGTGTGTGTGTGTGTGTGTGTGTTTACTTATTTTTGTGGAAGTATAGTCAACACACAGCATCATATTAGTTGTGTTCAACACAGCGATTTGACAAGTTTATGCATTATGCCTTGCTCACCACAAGAGTACAGCCACATTCCCACATCTTATTTTTAAGTTCATTTATTTATTTATTTTGTGAGAGAGAAAGAGAGAGAGAGAGAGAGAGAGAGGGAGGGAGGGAGAGAAAGAGGAGGGGAGGGGCAGAGAAAGAGGGAGAGAGAGAATCCCAAGCAGGCTCTGGACCGACAGCACAGAGCCCGATGCAGGGTTTGAACTCAAGAACCATGAGGTCGTGACCTGAGCTAAAATCAAGAGTCAGATGCTCAACCAACTGAGCATTCCTATTAATTATGGCAATGGTGCTCCAGCAAGCACCCCTGTGAACTCACCCAGGATCTTTCTAGGCTCAAACAGAATCTCCAAGCTGTTCTGCCCAGTGACCTGAGCACTGAGCCTCACAGTAGTGGTCGCAGGCCTTCGTTCCGTCACGTGTTTACCAACACCCGATGTTATCAGACTCCGGTAGTCGTACAAATAGAACATCTGGTGCTTGAGGGATGCTATCCCGGGCAAATTGCATCCCCCTGATGACTCACGAGGTAGAACGTGTTTTGTGTCTCTAACGCTTCCCCCCCTCCATACAGTTCAGCGGCTCAACAAGTGTCTACTGATCACCAGCTGTGTCCTGGCATTCTTCCTGGAATCTTGGACGCATCAGATGAGGAAACTTAGAACAGCCACTCTCACGGAGCTGGTGAGGTGATGGGAGGGGCCAGGCCGGAGCCCCCACCCTTGACCCTTCATGCGAGTGAAGAAGACTGCCGGCCAGCGGCTGGTAAATGGAACGGGAGGAGGAAGAGAGCCAAGCAGAGGAAAGAGCACTGGAGCAGGAGGGAAGGGCTGAAGTACTAACAGGGTACCTAGGGGAGCCGCGTCACGGGGCCAGGCTTCAGCAGCGACTCGGAGGAGGCAGAGAGGTCTGTCAAACCCAAGGGAGGGACGCGTGAAGCCAAGCAAACTGCAGGGAGGGTGTGCCCTCAGCCCTGGGGACATCCGGGCACTCCGTGTAACCGGAGTAGAGAGAGGGACTGAGAAGTGAAAGCTCAGGTGAGACAAACAGCGGGCAGGGGTGGCGTGGGGAGAGGGGGTCAGAACATTTAGTGCCTTGCAGCCTGTCCGTTGGGTGACACGCCAATGGGACATTTTCAGTGAAGCAACTATCTCGCCTAAGATTTAAAGCCTTTATTCTGCTTGCTGTGTGGACAGCAGAGTGTGGAGGAAAATGTCGAATCAAGAGTAGTGGAGGCAAATGCATGCTGTCAGGGGAGCTGCAGTGGAGACACTAAGAGGCTGTCAGACTCTGGGGACATTGTGAAGACAGAACCAGGATGGGATGAGGCACACGGGGGAGACAGGAAGCAAGGTCATCCCAAGTTTCCTGGAAACTACAAAGTCTGGGGGGGGGGGGGCCATCCACAGAGTTGACAAAGAATAGGTGGGCGAGGTTTGTGGGGCGGGGAAGACCGGAGGACGGAGGGGCTTGGGGCGTGTAGGGTTCAAGGTGCCTAATGGGCACTGAGCGGAGACGGTAAGGAGACGGTTGTTCACATGAAGTGGGAGTTCTGAAGAAAAGTCCGCATGGAAATAACAAATGTGTGGGTCTTCTGCAAATAAGTGGTTGTTATACCAAAGGACTAGATGTTATTGTCAAGGGTCACAGGTGAATAAAGAGAACCATGGGCTATGAATTACTTGAAAACATGTTTTCCCTCTTTTGTTACTGCTTATGTATTAGGTAATATATTATATTATATTATATTATATTATATTATATTATATTATACTTTTGTTGAAAAATTTTGTCACAACCTTTCATTTTAAGAAAAATCTGCTGCTGCTTACTATGGTAGGAGGATTTCTGTTTATCCTGTTATGTTGTTGATCATGAAATATATTATTTTTTCTATGCCTATTTACAAGACCATAGAGTTATTTTTTCTTTTTTTTTTTTTTAAATATTTCTAATGTTTATTTATTTTTGAGACAGAGAGAGACACAGCATGAGCCAGGGAGGGGCAGAGAGAGAGGGAGACACAGAATCCGAAGCAGGCTCCAGGCTCCGAGCCGTCAGCACGGAGCCCAACACGGGGCTCGAACCCATGAACTGTGAGATCATGACCTGAGCCAAAGTCAGATGCTCAACCAACTGATCCATCCAGGTGCCCCTATTTTTTTTTAATTTTTAAAATGGAAGGTGTGTTTTCTTAGTGAAGGGGAGCAGAATCTGCCAACCCCAAATATGTCCTGTTGGAATACTGGTTATTTTGAATTAAAGTTACTTAAGAAACAGCGGTGCAAGAGGGACTGTGTGACCCGCCTTGTCCTCCTGAAAGTATGAGATTAATCTCCGCTGTGAAAAGTACCCTCTGAACCAGAAAGACATCCTTGCCACCAGAGAGACAGGTCGAGGGCGGAGAGGGCTGTGCAAGCAAACCTTGTGACTTCCTCTCTAGTCTACCACTCCAAACCCAAACATCTTTATCTCGTCAATTCTTCACAAATTTATTGTCTCCTTGTCTAAAAGCTATAAAAGCATGCCTGCTCTGGTCAGTGCTCTGAGTCTTACATTTCCAGGGGGGTTTCTGTACATGTGAATTAAATTTGTGTTTTTTTTTTTTTTTCTTCTTCTTCTTCTGTTAGTTTATCTCACATCAGGTTAATTATCAGACCAGCCCAAGAGGTTACAAAAGAAAAAGGGAGGAGTTTTCCTCTCCTATGTGACTTTTTTTTTTGCCATACATTTCTATTTCTATCCCATTTTGGTCTGGATATGGGGTAAAAATATGTTATTCTGTGTACATGCATTGACAGTTTGTTCCTAGTATGTGACCATGCTTATGTTTCATACTTACTTGAACAAAATTTTCAGGTTCTACTTGAAGGTTGAAGATCTTTTTAAAATAAGTCTAATAAGTCCATGGTCAAATCGATAAGCTTCCTAACTTGTTATCTATTGAACCTATGAATCATAAAGATGTATAAGAAGACATTTCCAATGTCTCCCTATAATTCAGTCGTGTCTATATTAAATTATGTTCTTAAGCTGAACAAAAGTTCCTGACTGTCATATATTCCTGGTGAATATATACCCTTAAACAAAGTATAGTACTATTTTGTGGGTCAGTAATTGCATAACAGGTACCTGTGGTAAGGAATGATAGATAGTTTGATGATAGGATTCCAGGTTGATGGTTATTTTCCTTTAGTTTTTCAAAGATCTCCTTCTTTTAGTCTGTGTTAAGATGCCTTTTATCAAGCTAATAACATATGTGTTTCTTTCTTTGGCTGTTTGTTAGATCTCCCTGCCTTTGGTATACTTCAGTCTTACTAGAACGTGTCTAAGTGTTCAGCGATTTTTCACTAAAGCTACTCAGGACACACTAGGCTTAATAAATGCAAAATTCATAATGTCGATCAGTTCCAGCAGTTAAGATGATGTAAAGAATCACTACTTATTGTAACTATCACTGTAGATTTACTTTTATACAGTGTGCTTGTCATACTTTTTGATAAACATACAAATTAATGAAGGAAAGATGAAAAGTGAAGAAACTAATTTAA